AAATAGAAACGCAAACTTGAAAAAAAAACACCAGCCAACTATCTACCCACGCGGTTTCGTCTCCTGCACTCCAGGCTCCACTGGGACTACACAGTACGGTCATCATATTTCCCAGCAACTTTGCAGCAAGACGACCATCTCTTCGTCGTCCATTTCGGATTGCTTGCGCCCAACGTGCTTCCTCATCGCGCCGCACGTCGAGATTCGCCATCGTTTCACTCTTTAAATGAGCGCAAAGCGTTCTTACGTGCATGTGTATGGAAACGTTGAAAATTCTTGTGCCAATCAAAGTCGAGAGGAAAGAAAGAAAAAAACGACAGCACACCTCAAAATGTGCATGCTTGCTGACGTCCTCAGCACGAAGACGATTCAGAATGAAGTCTGCCTCGTTCGAGACGCGAAGAACGTGATCCCGAGTAGCGTGAGCCATAAGGCGCCCTTAATACTTCATTTTTTATCAATGTCGTCATGAAAATTTGAATTATTCTACAAAAGAAGATAGCATGGCTCTGGCGCAAAAAACATTTGGAATCAGCCACACAAATTTCAGATTACAGCAAAAAAGATCAGTACTAAAGATCAGACATTAGATAAGAAATCATTTGAGAATTTGCCCCACGATGTTTTTCACCTCATTCACCAAACTTCTGAGGTGCACCAAAATTTGAGCAGCACAAATATATTACGCGGCAAGAACGCTGTTACAAAATCTGCCCAGACGTAAGGACTAGCCCCTAATTTTGACATGAACAATTAAGAGACTGACCTTCGTTGACTAATTCAATAAAGGCAAGTCCAGCATGTTTTTGAAGAGAAGTCTGCCATTCCTGTGAGCAGAGCAACATAACAAGCTCGATGACAGAGCCTTGTTTATTTTTCAGAGTCTCCAGTACTGAAAAATTACAACTTCCCATAAGTCAGGCGAACACCGCAACAAGCACAAAATCCAGTACCCTTGCTATCGTTCATTATCTCTTGACCATGTGTACCAAGCAGCGTTTTTTGGAAAAACGATCGGAAATCACTCATAATTTCCCTCAATAGTGGAGCGGTCGTCTCTAACGCGGTTTGAAGTTTGCTGGTTAAATACTGCCTTCGCTCAGCCGGCTGTTGAGAAGGAGCAGTGGTGGTGGAGCCACCCAGCTTTGAAAGTTCTTCGGCCTAAAATTATTTTAATGAATACAGATAGTGTTACACACTATACCGATGAAACAGAGATCTACCTTATAGTCTTTCCCATCTTTTTTCATGGTTCCCGGTGCTACCATAATGGCTGAGATGCCTTCTTTGCCCTCTTTACACTCGTCTTCACTCGCAGCTTCACCGTTCGTCGTTGACTTCTCTGGGGTAGGAGGTTTCGCAAGGTCTGAACCACCAGCAGTGGAAGACCCAGGCGTGCTACATTCTTCTGAAAAAATTAACAGTCTTTGGACAGTCTTTCACTATTAAAATCCATCCAAATCGAAAAAGGAACCGTAAGACCCACCACCGTTGGTCGCAGAATTGAAGAAAGGACTCGGACTAGCCGGCGGCTCTAAAATGTCCCTGTATCGAGACACCATGAGTACCGAAAGAAGGTAAACTACGGCCAAGGCGAGGAATTGAGCTTGACGATTCTCTTCCTAAAAACACCATTGTGCGATGGCGAATGTCTCTAGCCAATAAGAGCTTCTCGCTTGCTTGCTAACCACTACTGAGCAAGTAGAATGACTAGCATGATTTACGGCCTATAAGCCTGGCTAGTGTACTACTCCCTTGGCTTATACATCGTAAAAAATTTTTGGTGAGTGATACTAGATTCACTATCACTGATGGTTCTGACCTGATTACCTTATTTTGACGATGAAATCATTTCTTTTTGATTCTTAACATTTCCCTTTTCAGGTCATTTTGTGTGAGAAGAAAATCGTTCCCCATCCCCAAAAAAAAACGGGACCATTTTTTGAATTGGATATTTTCCAAAGCATTAGAGTGAATTTGAAGAAAGCTATGATCGCTCGAGAAGTATGTATTGTACAACAATTGCATGTACACGAAAACCGCTAACATACTATTTCTTGATCGGATGAGCTTTCTGGAACCTTTTTTTTGAAAATGCAAGGACATGCTTCTGAACCACGACTGATTAAAAAAAAACCTGAGCAAATGAGAACAAATAATTTAAAGATTTATGTGTTGGCTATTCTCGAGCTTCCCTGTCATCAATTAGGGTACATTGCCGATGTTCCTTCCCCTTTTTGTATACATTTTGCTAGAAGAAGGTAAAAAGTTTGAAAAGGAACAATTGCGGAGCTCACTTACGACTAAATCGGTAAGATATGGGGTATTGGAATGGTGCCAATTATTTTCTTGGTGGAAAACTTAATTCCAATGACATTGAATGTTCGCAACGACGTCGTTTGCTTCTTTATAAGAAACGTATTTGCATTGAATACCATAATAAAATAGACCCGCAAAGAGAGAACTTCCGTCGAAGTGAATTAGTTTTGGAATTATTCTATTGATCACCTACCACCATGTCTCGGTAAACCGCACCCGTTGAGCCGCTGCAATCAAAGTCCTTTGCAAGAGGCGATCTAAGTCCACGATTCCTTCTTTTCCTTGCTAAACGAGGTAAGATAACACGAGCTCCTACAATCCTTGGCTTCTTTAGTTGTTTGCTCGTGGCTACACTTACCGACTCAATGGCTCCTTTAACAAACTCGTAGATAGCCTCATTTTTCGTGCTTGCATGAGCCTCAAACGCGTGACCGTTGCTATCAGGTCGGAGGACACGGGCGGTAAGAATGTGTCGAACTGCGGCCGTCGAGATTAAGCGTAGCACTTGACGTAAGACACCTCCAGAAGGCATATTCTTCTCCTTAAAATGAATAATCAGTACAATACCAAAAAATTGCTGTAAAAATGTACCTGTTCTAATTCAGCAAACGAAACGCCCGCTAGCAAAAACGAAGACGTCAACCAGCTGTACGAACCGCGACAACAGCGA